AAATTGTTGAAAATTTTGCCTGGTGTTGCCTGGTGTTAAGACAGGATTGCTGTCGTTTTGGGCTTGTTGGTGAACGTTGTCCGTTGGCTTTTTCGAATGGACCGTCGTTTTGTGCCTGAAGGTACCGGCCCCGTCGTTTCATCCTACAATACGGGTGCACGCAAGGAAACACCTTGACGCTAATGTAAGCACGCAATATACTCGCTTGGAGAGGAGGAAAGGAAGGCAGGAAAGAGCTACGGCATACGTGACGGCAAGACATGGGCCTGGGCCTCGTGCAGCAAGTGAAACAAGAGGCGGCTAGTTGGAGTCCCTCTGCTATCAAACGGCGGCGAGTTCATCATCGAGGACGTTGCGGCAACGAAACACCAACCCCCCCCCCTCCCCCCTCCACCGAGTTACAGTGTAGCTAGCCCCCCTTACCGATCGCAGGACCGGCTCCTGGACATGTTTCGCGAAGCGTAGCTGCTTCAGGGGGTCCCGTAGGGGGCGGTACCGCTCCGTGACGTCGGAAAACAGTCGGCACAGCGCCACCGCCGAGGGCGTGACTGGCGTCGAAGACCGAGGACCGTTCTGCGAAAAAAAAAAGCGCAAAATATCAGAACGCCAGCACACCGCCGCAGCCGGCCGTCGCAAAGGAAGTGGGGCGTGGTTGTGGTAAGGAGGCGATGAACGGTAACATTTTCACGCGGGGGGGGGAGGGGTGAGTCCCCGGCTACGGGGGGGCATGCCAGCCAAAAGGGTACACGGGAGGAAAGAGGGCGGGAGGAAAGTGATGCCATCATGGAAAAGTGTCGTGGAGTACAAACATGTTGGTGACTATCGATATTGTGCGCAATATTTGTGTGTGAGGGGGTTCAATCAACTCAACGCTGTACAGCGACCGCTGACCTCGGCGCTTTATTGAACCGTCTTTTGCCCCACCCTCGTGTCATCCCGTCAACCAACCACAACCAACACAACAGCTACGATCAACCGAACTTTTCACCTTCCAATCGACCGCTCTCCAGGCACCCGGCGACGCCGCGGCTTCCGCTAGCTTGGCCTTGGCGGCCTTGGCGTCCGACTCCATCCACCGCTCGAAACGCTGCTCGCCCTGGGCGAAGACCTCTACGCACCTGTTCACGTACGTATGTTGAGGTTAATCGTGTACTTCAATTAAAGTACGAGTTGTGGAGGCGTATCGTGTACGTATGTGTGCAATCATCATGCATACGTACGTACGTACACGTTCGCGCGCGATTGAGTACGAACGCCGCCGACCCCCCACGGATAATCTTGGCGCCGATAACCTCTTGATCTGCATGCTCAGCGTCAAACTCCATTTGCTTAGTTTCCTCAACGCCACGCCAACCAGCCTCAGACATCTCTCAACTCTTGGTTTTCTCAACCCAGTAACTCCCCCTAAACAAACTCCATTGTTTTTTCGTCAGCGCCAACGTTAACAATTTGTTCTATTCAACACCATGTTATATCTTTTCTTTTCAAAGCGAACGTATGCATGGAAGAACGAAGACAGCAGCGGAGTCAGTCAACCTCACCTCGGCCACGTCTGGTGAGGGAACCTGGCGGGACACTCGGCGTACCCCGCCTCCCGGTCCAGGCATCTGTCGAAAGCTAGCGCCTCCTCGACGGTGTGGGACAGGAGCGACTCGTCTGCGGCAGCCTCGCCCAGCTGGGCGCGTAGTCGTCGCCTTGTGCGTGCGTGTGTGTATGTGTTGGTTTGAAAAAGAGAGAGAGAGAGAGAGAGGCAGAGGCAGAGACGGCGGGAGAAGAGAGAGAGAGAGAGAGAGAGAGAGAGAGAGAGAGAGAGAGAGAGAGAGAGAGAGAGGGAGAGAGAGAGAGAGTAAGAGAGGAGGTCGATAAGGGCGTTTTCCATCAACACTCGTTACTGCACATACACCCTCATGTACAAAGCTTTTGCCAAACTCACGCGCCTACACCAACTACAGCGACTCACCACACTTCACTCACCACACCTGCGGCCCATCGGCCATTTGAGACACCCCGATACCATACACGTCGCCAAGCACACCTCACCCACACACCCACCCCTAAACAATATTTCGTGCCGAGTTTCATCCGCGACGGTACAAGCTCTCAGGAAAACATAGATTCCCAGGAAAAATTGGCAGAGTAATCGTTTCCGAAGCCGCCAAAAAATCACCAATACATCTTGTTCTTTGCGGTTAATCGAGCTTCAAGAACCGTCACAAGGGGGCGTGATGCCAGGCGCCGTTCTCGGTCGACACCGAGACGCACCTAGCCAGCAGGGCGAGCCCTCGCGCGAAGTAGGCCAACGGGTCCACGCTCCCCCCTCCCCTGCCCGCCTCTCTCGCCTCCAACTCCGGCGCTCCCTCGGCCGGGGGCGGCAGCGCCAGCAGCAGCAGCAGCGGACGGTATGCCTCCAAGGCTCGCAGGAGGAAAGACAGGAACCATTCCGGCCCTGCACCCAAGAAGAGGAGGGGGGGAGAAGGAGGGGGGGGGGGGGGGGGGGGG